GCTTTGGAGAAACAACAGAAACAATCATCAGAAAATATTCAAAAATAGCCCCACATCAATAGAAAAGACGTCCCAAGACTAGATTCCTCTTGTAAAGAACAGGCCCGACTCAGCCTTACTCGAATCTCTCCGAGGAGAAACATTGTTTGAGGGAACGCGACCACAGAACGTTGCCTGACTCGGCCTCGACCGCTGTGCGAATCAACAGTCAGGCAAACCGGGAGCACAACAAGAGCCGACCTGCAATAAGGAAACTAGTGCAGCGAACCAGGGCCTGAAAGAGGAACGAGCGTGCGGCATGCGTGAAGAAGGGGCAAGCGAGGAGGGGAAAGGGAGGCAGTTGGCAAGGCGACGAGAGGGCCCCCAAACGGCCCCAAGACGGGTCCAAGACGGGGGCCAGGAACCGAAAAGTCCAGCCTTCAGACCCAAGAGGCCCCCCAGGAGGCCCCAAGGGGCCCCCAAGGGCCCCAAGGGGCTCCCAAGGGGCCCCCAAGATGCACCTCAAGAAGCCCCAACAGGCCCCCAAGAGGGCCCAAGAGGGCCCCAAAACGGCCCCAAGAGGGGTCCAAGAAGGGGGCCAGGAACCGAAAAGTCCAGCCTTCAACCCCAAGAGGCCCCCAGGGGGCCCCAAGGGGCCCCCGGGACCCCATTAGGCACCTCAAGAATCCCCAAGAGGCCCCCAAAAGGCCCCAAGAGGCCCCAACACGGCCCCCAAGAGGCCTCAAACTGCCTCCCACGGGACCCCGAGAGGCCAACCACGAGAGCCCAACCAACATCCATGAGGCCTCCGACCCACCACCCAGGCACAGTGGCGGGATGGGCCGACGGTCAATAGATCCGCCGCCCCCTGTTGGCTTGCCAAAGGGGTGCCCGGCGTGCTGAATCTTATCCTCTTGGTTTCGGTTCTTTTTCCACAAGAACTCTCCCCATGGGGCTTCGGCCTGTCTGGCCGGCCCTGCGGAAGACCCCGTTGCACAGGTTTTTCCTGCCCCAGGCGGCTCTAATATGGCCTACGCACACGGCCTCCAAGACGGCCAAGATGGGCCGCAAGTTTGCCCAAGATGGTCCAAGATGGTCTCCAAGACGGTCCGAGAGAGTCCCAAGTAGCTCCGAGTCCGCTCAAGAAGCCTCCGCGACGGCCGAAGCCGGCCCCAGATGCATCCAAGAGGCCTCCAATACTGTCGCAAGAGGCCTCCGAGAGGTCCTCCAGGAGAGCCCGAAGAGGTGAAGATCATTGATTTGCCCTTGGGTTATTTTAGGCTTCTGCTATATTCCAATCTTCTGACGGCCCACGACGGCCCAGGAGGCCCCAACGATCGCCCGCCCCCAGAGCGCCCGAGAGGCCTCCAAGATTGCTTCTGGGACGGCCCAAGAGGCCCCCGAGACGGCCCCAAGAGGGCCCCAAGGCGGCCCGAGAGGCCTCCAAGACGCCCACGCTGGCCTCCAAGACGGCCCCGAGGCTCCCAAGACAGTCCCAAAACTGCCTTGAGAGGCCCCCAAGACGACTTCCGACGGCGTCAGAAGGGCGAGGAACGCAAGACACGCAAGAGGGCCAAGGATGCCCCCAAGAGGCATCCAAGAGATCCCCGAGAAGCTCCCAAGAGGTCTCGAGGGTGCCCCAACAGGCTCCCAAGAGATCTCTTCCTCCTCCTTCGCCTCCTCCTCCTCCTCCTCCTCCTCCTGATTTTCCCGCCATCCTCCCCCAAGAGTTCCCTGAAGGGTTTCTACAACGGCTGGGGAGACACATAGCCCGATAGCTTGGCAGAACTCTTGCCACAACGCTCAGCCACATGGGCGAGTCCAAACGGCATGGGGCGGCGGTGATTCGCCGTAGGCGTCTTCGATAGTGAATAACCTCACCTAGCAGCACCGCATTGACAAGGATCACTCGGGCAATTAGCAGCGCTACAAGTGGCACTCGTCGAACGATCGGTCCGAGACACCCACGATGGCTTCCAGACGGCCCACGACGCGTACAAGACACCCGAAGAGGCCACCAAGAGGCCTCCCAAGAGAGCCCCAAGAGGCACACCCCGACAAACGGCAGCGGCGGCAAGGCAATATGGGCCGACGGAATGAGCGAAGCGATGAAATAGATAGACACAAATCCCAGGACGCCCCATATTTCCAAAATTGTATTATGGGTTGTCGTCCCCCCATTTCCCATAATTTCCTATATCTTCCTGGGATTCGACGACTGATTGTGTCTGTGTGTATTTCCGCCTCCTGAGCAACGGCGGTGGCGACGGCGACGACGACGACGACGACGACGACGGCGACGGCGACGGCGGCGGCAACGACGGCGACGGCGACGACGACGACGGCGACGCCGACGGCGGTGGCCACGGCGAGGCCACGGCGAGTTCACCACGGAAGAAGTGGAACAACGAGGCCCGACGACGGGCGCGACGGCCGTCCGCCGCGGGCCTCTCCCCAGGGGCCCCTCTCGCGAGCACGGTCGGGGGCTGCACTGGGCCAGCCCGTGCAGGTCTTCGGCCGCGCGGGGCCACCCTACACTTCGGTCCGGCAGGTCCCCCTACAGGCGGATGAAAAAATAATATCTTAAACATGTTCAAAAACAGACAAAAATAGTAGAACAATCGTCCCGAGACTATTCGTTTACTATTTTTGAATACTCCTCCTGTAAAAAGACGTGCCCGACTTAACCCTATACAGCCGAGATGACGCAGGACTTCAGCCGGGTCAGGTCACGCTGGGCTGGGCCAGCACCCAGGAAGTGCCAGGGCTGGGGAACGACTCGATCTCAAAGGATCTGCAGCCGAGCTTTCCTTCCACCGATGTGGTCAAGGAGGCGCACTGCCACGCAGACAAGGGGGCCTGAGGCAGACGGGTCCTGGACGCGGGGCTTTCACAGGGGACGAGCTCTTCGACACGAGCCGATGTCTGACAGGCGTGGTCTGGGAAGAGCCAGGAAAGTCGAACACCGCGAAACCGTGGCGGTGCTCCCGAAACGGGCCCCGAAACCCGCCCCGCTCCCGTCCAGGAACTCGCCCTGGCTAGCTCTTCGCACCGCGCCGCGCCCGGCCGTGGCGACGAGAACCTCTAGGAACGCCCAACAAACTCCGAGACGACGACGAGGACGACGACGACGACGACGACGACGACGACGACGACGACGACGACGACGACGACGACGACGGCGGCGGCGGCGGCGGCGGCGGCGGCGGCGACGACGACGACGACTTCACAGCGAGCTCACCACGGCAGAAGCGACACCACAGGGCCCGACGACGCGCGCGAGGGCCAGCCGCCGCGGGTCTCTCCGCAGCAGGAGCTCCCAACTTTGGGCCCCGCGCTGCGCGGAGCGCGAGGGTTGCGAATCACTTCGCGCTCTCGCGCCGCCTCCCAGGGGAGAAGAGGAGGACGAGGCAGCATCGGAGCCGAACCTCGAGGGCGCGAAGAAAACTTCGCGCCCTCGAGGGCGCCCTTGCCGCAGGGGGCCGGGCCGCCTGCAGCCGTGCAGCGCGCGCGCGCGGCGGGGGCCGCGGCGAGACGCGGAGGCGCTGCTCACCGCCGTGTCGACGCGGACGCTGCGAGCGTTCTGACTACCTACCAGACCATCCCAACCCAACCCGACGACCCGACTTTCGGGTTGGGGGGGGGGGGGGTATGGGCTCCACATGTGTTTTTGTCGATGCTCTCGGACCCCCCCCCCAGTGGAATGGAGGGCAAGTTGAGGCCTTCGGGTTGGGTTGGGGTGGTTTGGTGTGTGGTGGTGGTCACCGCCGTGCCGACGCGGACGCCGCGGGCTTTCAGGAGGCAGGAGACGGCTTCTCGGCTCCTCCTCCTCCTCCTCCTCCTCCTCCTCCTCCTCCTCCTCCTCCTCCTCCTCCTCCTCCTCCTCCTCCTCCTCTCAGGTGTGCGCGTCGCCGAGAAGCGAGGGCCACATTTTTGTTTGGGGGGGAGGGCCCGCCCTCCATCCGCGAGGCTGCTGCACACTTCAAGCCTCGTGAGGCTAACATCAAGTCGGGCGTGTCCCCCTGCAGGGGGATTCTGCGCGAAAAATTTAGAACTACTCCAAACATACCAACAACAACAACAACAAAAAAGCTAACAAAAGTCAAAAAGTACAACAAACAAAAAGCTAGAAACAACTAGTGAAAAAGTAGTCCCCAGACTACTTTTTGACCATTTTTGAACATTCTCCCTGCAGAGGGACAGGCCCGACCTAGTGCTCACAGACGGTGGGGAATGCCCGTGCGGGTCCCAAGCATATACACCACCACCACGTCGATTCCTCCTCCCTCCTCCACTCTACCCTTCTCTTCACCTCCTCTCTCCTGGGGGAGGGAGGGAGTGAGGGAGGTGGTGGTGGTGGTGTATATTTGGGGGCCCCGTATCTCGGGCGCAGCGCCCCGCCCGGACCGCCCTTCCTGCACGTCTGGACGCGTGGCGGCGCGCCGAGCGGAGAAGCTCTCGGGCATCCCCCGTCGGGCCCCTCGGCGGGCCTCCCGCCTCGGGGAGGCGCTCCAGCGGCTGCGCCTCGTCGAGGGGCGCCCGGGGGCGGCCCGGGTCGTCCCTGGACGGCTGCCGGAGAGCCGAGCGTCTGGCGCAGCGGAGGTCGCTCGATCTCGAGCGACCTCCGCCATCCGACGGCGCAGATCGTTCGATCTGGGGCATGGAGCATCTGGCCTGGCTCGGGCCGCTGGTCACCCTCCACCCGGGGCGCCGGCGCGGGCGTCGCCGCCGCGTCGGCGCGGCGCAAAGCTGCCGAACACGCTGCCGATTCCACATGCCCCCTCCCCCTTTCCAGCTGATGCACAGAGGGCTCACCACTGGGGAGGTCGCCACCTCCTCCTGAAGTGCAATGGCCTCTGCACGTGCACAGACGAGAGTACGTGGCATCACGGTCAACGCTTGCTTCGCAGTAGGGTATTCCTCTCGATGCGATGCAAGCAGGACCAGGCAGCTCCCTGGTCTTGGCGCGCTTTTTCTAAGGCCCACTCAAGCACCATAGCGCACAATCGGTGAGGTGATCAATGCATCACTGTATCGCTCGGCACTGCGGCAGAGGTGCGCCGAATGCCCAGGGAGGACCTCCGCCCGAATTCCTCTCGTGTGTTCCTTCCGCGTGCTCCCTCCGCAAACGCCACGTTATGAAAGCACACCTCGTCAAACAAACCATTCACACCCTTACAGAACGCCAGACCCCGAACAGCAAAATTGCATACTCCAGATCTCGTAATAAAGGGAGGGGGGTCTCATTTCGGGGGGGGTCTCTTCCAAGCTATCTTGGAGGGCCTGGGGGGGTCTGGGGACGATGTTTTGGAGGGTTCTCCCACGGGGGGGGGGTCTGAAATGGCTTGTCTTGGAGGGTCCAGAACCCCTCCCTTTTATTACGAAATCTGGAGTAGTAAAGAAACTGTGCCACTGCACGGCACCTACGGGAGACCACTCGTGAGATCACGGGGAAGAGACCGTACGGGAGACCACATCAGAGAACACTCCCGGAGACCACGCGGGAGACCCTACGGGAGACCGTGTGGGAGACCACACGAAGACCACACGGGAGACCGCACGGGAGGTCACGCGGGAGACCGCGAGCCACCGATCCCAGATCCAGCGTGGCTAGCAGGCTTGTCGACAAACTGGGTAGAGGCACCAGCCCTCCGGTGGTTTAACCAGTTTTGTCTTCCCTCCCCCTCCTTCCCCTGCTCTGGGGAGGGCTTGCCCCTCCCCCTACCCCTACCCCCTACCCTGGGCCTGGGGGGGGGTGCGGGGGACGAGGTAGTTAGAGTTTCAAGATGGCCCAAGATGGCTCCAAGAGGGCCCTCGACAGCCCAAGGTGGCCTCCAAGAAGGCCCAGGGTAGCCGAAAATGGTTCAGTATAGCCTTCAGCGCACCTTCTAGAAGCCCCAAGACAGCCCCAAGACGGTCTAAGTGCCTTTCAAGCATTCCTAGGCACCCTCCAAGAGGCCCGAATCCTTCAAACGCCTGAGGTAAAATCGATGTGCTTTGCCTTCTCGCTGTTTCGCTTCCGATTGGCTTTTGAGGCCTCGAGATGGCTCCCAAGACGGCCCAAGAGAGCCCCAAGAGGAGGCCCACGAGGGCCCGCGAAGGGCCCCAAGAGCGCCCAAGAGCGCTCTAAGAGCGGCCCAGGAGAGCCCCTCAGGAGCTCAAAAATCGTCCCTCAAGAACATTTCACAACAACATACATCCAAAGCCCGATTTCTCGTCCTCGTTGTCATCGTCCGTTCCTTCCCTCCTCCTTTCCTGCCTCCTCCCTCCTCCTCCTCCTCCTCTTCCTCCTCCTCCTCTTCTTCGTGCCGCATTCCACCTCCTCATCCTCCTCCTTCCTCTCCTCCATTCCTTTGCCTTCTGAATAACTTCTCCGTCGCACCCCGAGGCCAATTTTCGGGCCGGGCGTTTCGCCTGAGACTTCCTCACCATCTGTGACTCTAAAGCTTACAAATTGGCAACAGCTTCACACATGGAGAGCGGTTTTTTATGTCGCTCTCGCCTTAGCGCCGCGCAGATTCGTTCAACAAAAATGCAAGAGTTTCACGGCTTGAGGGCGGATGGTTTTCCAAATGTGGCTCTCGCCTCAGCGCCGCGCACACTCCTTCTACACATTTGCAAGAGTTTCACGGATTTAAGGCAGTTCCTTTTCAAAATGCGGCTCTCGCCTTCGCGCCGCGCACATTCGTTTACATAATGTTCAAGAGGTTCACGGATTTCAATCATCAACGTACCAGACATTTCATTTTGGAAGGATTCAGGACAACGCGGGTGCAACAGTTATGCTGATTCTCTGTGTTGAAGTCCTAGCAATGGCGACCTGGCACGATTCAGGATCGTCAAGACGCACCAGTCAGGTTGATTCGTGGCGTTGGAATCCCGAGGACAATGTTTTGGCACGCTTCAGGGACTTCAAACGGGTGTCTTCCAACGAAGCAGTCCCCTGAATGGAAATGAACCGTCGTAGGGCCTATAAAGAGGGAGTTTGGAGAGAGGGTTTACTCCAGCAACGTTGATGACTCTTAGGTTTACACTGGTCCTACTCCTCCTCCTTCTCCTCCTCTCCTTCCACCTCCTCCTCCTTCTCTCGTTTCCCTCCTCCTCCTCCTCCTCTTCCTACTCTTCCTCCTCCTACCCCTAAGATGGTCCCAGGAGGTCGAGCATGGCTCAAGGTAGTCTCCGACAGACCTCTAAGAGGCCTCAAGACAGCCTCAAGATGGCCCAAGATAGCTGAGCATGGCTCAAGATAGCTTCCAACAGCCTCTAGCCGAGCGTGGCCCACGATAGCCTCAAAGAAACTTCAAGAAAGCCTCCGATTGTTGTCTGGATGGGCAGGTGGGGGTAAGCAAAACGTCAATAATGATATAGGACGCTTACAGACATAATGTGCCGGGAAACATTATCAGACCAACTAGAACAAGGACAAACGGTGCCAGCTCGCCCCATATCCCCCAGGAAGATAGACAAGTGTTGCTCGCTCCTAAAATGGCAGATACAACTGAGACTTGACGGCATGGCTCGCAAGTTCAAATGTAGGCGGGTCGCAGCATACAGCACCACAACAGTGACAACTAATTGCTTGCTGACTGGTAACGTCGTACGCTGCGGCGGGGAGGGGCGCGCTGGGCGGGGGTGCGTTGCGATTGCCACAATTTGCGCATGAGCACATGCACCCTACGAACGATCGTTAGCTTTTATCAGGAAGGGGGGTGGAAGGGGGCGTGGCCTGGGTAGCGACCGTTACGCGTCAAAGGATAAACATGTATCTCCGCACGGAACATGCCAGTCTCTCGGGGCCACTCTGAACAAGACCACAAACGCCTGGGGTCCTGTACGACCTCATGTGGTACCAAAATGATGGCCGATCCGGAAGCCGATGGGTACGCAGGCCAGACTCGTCAATAAGTGCTAAAACAAAACGTGTTCAAAATCTGTTTTCTGTGCAGCGCCCACGTGTATAACACTACGTGTTAGACAACGTTTCCCGCGACCTTCGCGGACGAATTTACCTGGGAGTGTTGGAGCGAAGTGTGTTCGAAGATGTTTTGCCAGTCTTTTTCGGCCCTGGACCCCAAAGGTTTTCCCAGGGCCACCTTTCCATCTTGAGCCGTGTTCCAACGGCCCCCACGCCCTAGTGATGTTCTGGGACCCCAATAGCGGCGGGAACTTCAGGACCCGTTTCCCTCAGGACCCGCTTCCCTCATGGCTACGTCAAGAGGATGGGTGAAGATGAAGTGTTCCAGGGATGGTGGTGGCAATTGCAGGAGGTACCCCGGATCCCGAGCAGGCCGACGACACACCACGGCAACGATGCGCCGCGGCAACGACACAGGCGAAGCGCGCTTGCGTGCTGGCAAGACCGCCCGCGGGAAACGCCTCTGGATGAGAGGGGCGAAGAGAGAGAGAGAGAGAGAGAGAGAGAGAGACAGGAAAAAAGAGAGAGAGAGAGAGAGAGAGCGAGAGCGAGAGAGAGAGAGAGAGGAAAAAAGAAACGGAAAATGATAATAACAAAGCAAAACGAGGGCGGGGGGAGGGGGCGAAAAGGAACGAGGACGCAGGTAGGAAGACGGATGAGTGCCGGAGACTAAAAAAATGGGGGGTGGCGGCGGGGGGAAAAATAGCGGCAACACCAAGGAAACGAACCTTTTCCCCATCTCTGTGAAACATGCGTGCGCGCTGGCGCATGAAACAAATGGCAACCGAGAGTCCGGTTCGAATCCGGAGTGCGCGGGCGATCGAACACCTCAGGCGAAGCAAAGGGGTCAAGAATGACGGAAACCCGAACCTGCCGAGGAGACCCGGCAGACACTTGGGAGGCGCGCCAGGTCGGCGGAGCGCGTGCTCAATGACTGCACTCAGCGAGCATACCCGTGCTCTCAGGGGCGGCACAAGGCAGCTCACCTGACTAAGCGAGAGGCGGTAAGACATGCGCCGCGACGGTGCGCGAGGGCCTCGCGCCGCGGCCGTGGCGACCGAAAGCCGAGCCGGGAGACCAGGCTCGGCGAGGCATGGCACAAGCCCTGCGGGGGCGAGGACGCGGAAGGAATGCCCTGGACTGGTAGGCAGGAGCGGGGAGAAAAGTGGGAGTCGCCATGCGTGCGCGCGGATGCAGATGCACCGCGCATCGCCTCACCGCTCAGCTCTTGTCCGTCGAATGCTGATCGGTGCGAGGTTCGGCTTCTTCTCCAGCTTCCACGCCGTCGGCCGCTGCGGATCCCGCGGCGCCCGCGTCTTGGGTGGACGGCACCTCCTCCTAGCCCTCTTCTGGCGCTGCTTTCTTGGCCCCGCTTGCGATTGCTCTTGAGACCTCCGCGGCGGGTCTGCCTGGGGAACCTCGCGGGCCCCGCCGCGGGCGCCTGCGTCTCCGCGCCCTTGCCCATGCTGCCCTTGCTGGCCTTGCTGGCCTCGCTGCCCGCGCCGACCTGCTTGTCGGACTCGGCCCGCCGGCGCGGCGCCTGGCCGAGGCTGCCCGCGGGGGGCACCGGGCGGCAGCAACGGTTTGGTCCACGGCGCGGGGCCGGGTGGCCACGACGGCCTGCTCCTCGGCCCAGGCGACCGAGAGCGCCGCCGGCTGCCCCGGGCCCAGGCGCCCGAGGCCCGCGGGGGAGCTTCGCCGACGCCAGGCCAGGGAGACCTGGCCACGAGCCGCCAGCGCCCGCGGCGCGCAGAGCGGCACTCGCGGTCACCCAGTGGGCCCAGTCCGCCGCCAGCCGATGTCCGAAGACCGCCACCTTCGGATAAGGGCCTCGACCCCCACAGTCGGCCGCGCATCTATATCTACGGGGCGCCCATTAGCGACGCGCACCTCGCGGCCGACTGCGACGCGCAGCCGCGAGACCGCGCGCCCGTCGCCGAAGAGAACTAGGCGCGCCATGGGCTCTGGGAAAGCCACGCTCATGCGCCAGTTGCAGCGGATGCACTCGTCGACCTTCATCACGTCGAAAAGATCCGAGGGCGATGGAGGGCGCGCCGCGACTCCTTCTGCGCTATCTCACGCCGCCGCCCCGGCCTCAGCGGCGCAGGGGTAAAGGGGGGACCTCGTCGCCAACAATATATTTGAACGCCCGCGGCGGCGGCGGCGCTGGCGCGGCCTGGCTCGACGCCGCGAGCCGCGGGCGCGCTGGCCGAGGCGACGCCGCGCGCCGAGGGGTCGCGCCGCTGATGCCGCGCACGGCCGGGCCGCGGCTGCGCCAGCGCGCGCGCGGCGGAGGCGAACGCGCCTGATTGCCCTCGCGGCGGCGGCGACGCAGCGCCTCTACAAGCCGCGGCCGCGCGACGGAGGTGGCAGCGGCGTCGGCCCGCGGCGGGCGCGCCCAGCGGGCTCCGCCGCCCGCGCCCGCAGGGGCCCCGTGAGCGGCGGCATCGTGGACGACGTGCCTGGTGGACGTGCCAACGGACGAGCACCGCCGGCCGGTGCTGCCGGCGCTCTACCCTTGGGCCGCGGCAGTAGACTGGCGCGCATCCGATGAATATGAGGCCCGTCGCTCGGGCGAAGCGGCGAACTCCTTGAGGGGCATGGCCGCGAGCGCAGCCGCCCGGGCGCGCGAGCGGGCCCCGCGGGGGGCCGGCCGGCGCGGGCGCGCACGCCGAACAGGCAGACGGCCCCGGATGGCATACACGCGTGCGCACGTCCACACACACACACACACACATACATACATCGATCCGCGCACTGCTGCGCCTTCCTTCCCACTCCCAACGACTGCATCAAATCAAAGCCCACCCAGTCCCCGCTGCGCCAATCTTCGCAAGCGAGAAAGCGAAATCATTACGCTAAGGGCTTCTCGATCCTGGCCAACGCGAAACAGACATGCTGGGCCTCCAAGTGAGAGATAAGAGGAAGTAGGTTTTGGCCAGCGGGGCTGGAGCACGGCGGTCGCACAGGTTACCCCTGATCACCAGCCTCCGTAGGCTGACGCTCATGACGTGATTGCGCGGTGGGCTCGCTCGCAGCGTTGCAACAGGGTGACGGCATGCGGAATGCGGCATATCCTGCGTCGCCTGCTGGAGACAGAGCGGGGTCCGTCTGCAATCGCATCCGGGTGCCCTCCCAGCTCAGGGCCGATAGCTGGCCAGGGCACGGGGGGTCTCGGAGCCGCAGCACGCGCGGCGGCAGTGAGTGTCCTTCCGGAAGCCTGGGCCCAGCGGCCGTCACAGCGGTGACGACGCCCATTGAGTCAAGGCAGGCTCGAGCTGCAAAGCCGAAACCTGCCGCCCGTCTGTCTCGCTGGCGCCGCGCGACACGTGCGCCGCGAGGCCCTGCGGCCACCTCGCGGAGCGCGGCGGCGAGTGCCGGGCCGCGACAGGTAGACGAGATCACGACCATCGGCTGACTCGCGAAGTTGCTTCGCCACCGTCTTGACAGCTCCACGCTGCCAGTCCAGAAGATGGCAGGGCATGGCGAAAGTGGAGGACACTGGCGCTGAGGCGGAGGACGCGGTGCTCGCGCGCAGGAATACTGCACCGCACAGGGCGCGACCTGCACGCGCACTCCCTTCTTGTTCCTTGCGAGACGCTGCGTCGGAGTGGATCACAGTTTAGCTGCGCACCTCATGACTGGGTCGTGGATCTTTAACGGGTTAGCTTGCGCCCACCTGTGCCCAAAGCGCTGAGCTCGCGGACGCGGCCGCGCGTGGGCGCCGCCGCGTGCCGCTGCAGCGCTGCCACGTAGACATGAAGGTCAATGCACACGATCAGGGTAGCCGCCAACTGCATGAGGAGGTTGAGGAGGTACTTTGCTGGGCCACCAGATGCAAGCTCGGAGATGCCTTTCCCGAGGAGTTCAGCACCTCCGATGGGCTCAGGGGCCTGCGTGTACTCCGTCTACGCGATTTCGGAACCACCATCACTTGAAAGCGAATGTCGGGCCCCACAGCGTGTGAAAATCCTCACGGACATGTCCAGCTCGGTCTTGCTATCGGTGCCCTCGAGCCAATTGCGGAGCCTAGCAGTTCCTCTCGGAATTCTTGCCACCTTAATGCCGTCAGAGCGTCTAGGAGCTAGAAGACCTAACTCGCCCGCGCGGTGCTCGGCGATGAACTCATTGTCGTAGAGCGCGGGGGCGGCCTGATATATGCGGTGGGTGGCCTTGTGCACCCCTGTCCTCCAGCCTATCCGGCGGCAGCTGGCGCCCCGTGGCCCGCGACGCGGCGGAAGCGGACGCGCAGCGAGCAGCGAACCCATGGGCGGGCATTCGCGCCACGCGCGGCGCGCATCAGCGGGCGCAGAAGCGCCAGCGCGCGCGCATCCCGGGCGGACAGAGCCGCGCGCAAACGCGCGCATTGCGACGCCAGATGGCCTTAGACAGCTGGGGATCAAGACAGCAATATGAGATAGAAAAAACAATGGAAAATAGCTTTCCGAGATAGCTAACAATAGCTTCTACTATTAGTTCCCGAAGCGACGGGAACGCGCGCGCGGGATGGGCAACGCCGAACCCGCGGCGGCGACGCGCCGAATCAAGCCGCGGCCCCGCGCGCCAGTAAAGAAACAAAGAATGCCGCACGGGTTCTGCACGCGACGCCGCGGCGATGGTCGCGGCGCGGTGTGGCGCGCGACACACCCCAATGCCTCTTCCACCTTTCCATCCTCAACCCCTTCACCAGCCTTCCCCTTCCTCGTCTCGGCCCCTCCTCCTCCTCCCCCCCTCCTCCTCCTCCTCCTCCCCCCCCCCTCCCCCTCCTCCTCCTCATCCTCATCCTCCTCCTCCTCCTCCTGCTCCTCCTCCTCCTCATCGTCATCATCCTCCTCTTTCGCTCGAACTCCCCCCCTCTGCCCGTCGCGCGCCCATCTCGCCGTGCCGCGGCGGCGCCTTCTCCTGCCGCAAACCCCTCGCCCGCCGCCCCCGCCCCTTCCCCTTCGCCGTCGTTGTCTTCCCCCGCCGCCCCCGCGCCCTCCTCCTCCTGCTCGCTGCTCGCCCGCCCCCCCATTTCCGCCGGCGCCCGGGCTGCGCGCCCGAGCCGGCGCCCAGGCTGGCGCTCGGGCCGGGCCCAGAGCCGGTTCCCGCTGCCGCCGGAAAATCGAGCTCCGAGGCGGCGCCGAACAAAAAATATTCACTGCGTGGGGATCCCCATATGTGCATCTCCTTGCTGGCGCTCCCTTGGCGGTGGGACTCGGTGAGGACGAATCTGGATTTAAGTGTGACTGAGCTGCCTCTCTCTCTGCTCTCTCTGCTCTCTCTGTCTCTCTCTCTCTCTGCCCTCTCTCTGTCTCTGCCTCTCTTTCCCTGCTCTCTCTCTCTCTCTCTCTGCCTCTCTCTCTGCCTCTGTCTCTCTGCCTCTCTCTCTCTCTGCCTCTCTCTCTCTCTCTCTCTGCCTCTCTCTCTGTGCTCTCTCTCTCTCTGCCTCTATCTCTGCCTCTCTCTCTCTCTCTCTCTCCTCTCTCTCTTCTCTCTATTCTCTCTCTGCTCTCTCCTCTCTCTCTCACTCTC